ACCGGCACCGACGGCGCCAAGGAGTGGGCCGCGGCGGCTTTGTGGAGCTTGGCTGTTCAGAACTCCGACAACCAGGTCGCCATCGCCAAGGCCGGCGCCGTGGATCCGCTCGTCGACCTCCTCCGGACCGGCACCGACTTCGCAAAGGAGCGGGCCGCGGGGGCTTTGCGGAACTTGGCTTGGGAGAACGCCGACAACCAGGTCGCCATCGCCAAGGCCGGCGCTCTGGACCCGCTCGTCGACCTCCTCCGGACCGGCACCGACTTCGCCAAGGAGCAGGCCGCGGCGGCTTTGCGGAACTTGGCTTTTCAGAACTCCGACAACCAGGTCGCCATCGCCAAGGCCGGCGCCGTGGATCCGCTCGTCGACCTCCTCCGGACCGGCACCTACGGCGCCAAGATGCAGGCCGCGAGGGCTTTGAAAAACCTCACACGCGCCGCCGGGTCCCGAGCTGCGGTCGCGCAGGCCCTTTCCTTGAGTGCGGCTACGTCAGAAAGCGGCGTCGACGCGGCCATCGACAAGCTCGGCGGGATGTGAGCCCGGCCACCTCGCGCTCGCTTCGCGGACGTCGCGTCGCCATGCTCACGGCACTCCGAGACACCGGCGGCGCGGCCCCGGAGCGCGCGGCGCATCGCGGCGGCGACGGCGCCGCCGTCGTCGTCGCCGCCGCCGTAGGCGCCGGCGAGCTCGAAGAGGAGCTCGCAGTAGGGATGTGATAGCCGAAGAGCGTGAAGGAGAGGAGGAGCTTGTTGTAGTCCGGCGGCGCCCCCTCGAAGCAGAACGGCGCGTCCGCGAGCTGGGGGCACAGTGCAGCGCACCCGCGGGCGCGCGCGTCGATGGTCGTTTCCATGCCGCGAAATTGGTAGGCACCGGCAGGTACGTCTAAGGAAGGCCCCATGCGCACGTCGCCGATGCGGTCGATGCGGTAGATCGCGGGGACGGTCATTTCGCCTCTCGAAGATCTTTCGTCCGATATTTTAGTAGCCTAGCCGAGCTCCCGGGGACTGCAGTCTCTACTAAGAGGCTTAGTGTTTCTATGTAGATGCGCGTAGT